GGCCTCGGAATAGGGACGGGGGGGGGGGGCTGCTAGGTGCTGCTGGAGTGACACAAAGGAGCCTCTTGTCCCAGGGGACTTGTCAGTTACAGCCCCTGCCCTGACACGGCGTGTGCCCCCCCCCCGGTTGCCCCTGGGAAAAACCAAGGAGAGTTCACACGGCACCTCTTATCTGGGATTCCGGAGGGGGCTGAGATAGGCTGGGGCGTTTCTCGAATGGAGATCCCTCCGCCCTCCAAGCTTGGCCTGACTTTTAGGGCCAAGGCACGCAGAGCGACTCCCAGGGCTCCCTGTTTTCCCTTCAGTGTAGCCTCCGTGGGGAGGGCTCCGTTATGCCTGGACCCCTGGACAAGTCTGGTACCTATGAACAGGTGACGCAGGCAACCTCCCCTCCCTCAGCACCTCACGGGGTCACTCTAGACTCTCCCCTAGTCTGCCACCAGCCCTGCACCCTCATGAAATGTGTGCCATCAAATACCGGCCAGAGGCTTGTCTGGGGAAACTGATCCCAAAGGCGCAAAGGTCTGGTTCTTGGCAGTTCCCGCTTTAAATCCATCAGGGTCAAAGACTGATTTCCCAGAAGAGGCAGTAAAACTAACCCATATCCCCCCACCTTGCCTTCCCTTGCCTGGTTATCCTATGTGAGTCTACAGTTAAAACCATTTAAGCCCCATCCTTTGTAATGATTTGCTGGCCTAGCAATTAGGGGGTCACCAAAAACACAACAGACATTTTCACACACGGGAAGTTCACATGAATCTCACACTACGTTCGCGAGCCCTGGGAATCCTGTGAAGACTCCTCCTCCTTGCCCAAGACACGCTGTTCCAGTTCTAACTAACACAAGCGCTGTTCTAGGAGCAACTTCGTCGTGACCCAAGAGGGCATATCCAGCCACCCTCTGTTCAGTAGAGCGTGTGCATTATCTGGAAGTCCACTAAATTTACACCCCCAACACAAAGTTGGGTAATTCTTCTCTGAATGTAATGCTGGTTCGTTTCACTCATCTTTCTCCCCAAATCTCTGTTCTGGGAGAACCGGGTTTGATTCCCCACCCCTCCACTTGCACCTGCTGGTGTGACCTTGGGTCAGTCACAAGCTCTGGCACAGCTGTCCTTGAAAAAGAGCAGTTCCTGTCAGAGCTCTCTCAGCCCCTCCCACCTCACAGGGTGTCTGTTGTGGGGAGGGGAAGGGAAAGGAGTCTGTAAGCCGCTCTGAGACTCCCAAATGAAGGGCGGGGTATAAATCCAAACTCTTCTCTTCTTCTTCTAAATACAGTCCTCCTGTGTAAAATGAGTTCCCTTCTTGTCTCTGTAAGGACTAACTTTATTTTCTAAACTTGTATGTGTGCTTAAGAGTAAGGTAAAGGTAAAGGTTCCCTTGCTCGAAAGCCAGTCGAATCCGACTCTAGGGTTGCGGTGCTCATCTCCGTTTCAAAGCCGAAGAGCCAGCGTTGTCTGAAGACGTTTCCGTGGTCATGTGGCCGGCATGACTAAACACCAAGGCGCACCGAACGCTGTTACCTTCCCACTGAAGTGGTACCTATTTATCTACTTGCAATTTCTTGCTTTCGAACTGCTAGGTTGGCAGGAGCTGGAACTAGAGACGGGAGCTCACTCCGTCATGCGGCACCCGGATCTTGAACTGCTGAACTACCGACCTTCCACAGCCTGCAGTTCAGCGTCTTAACCACTTGAGCCACCGCAGCTCCTTGCTTAAGAGTGCTCTTCAATTAATAAGTTTGATTTTATTCTTTAATTCTCTTTAATAAAAACCATTTCATTAATGAAGGCCTGGTTCGTTCTGAGAGTTCTTCTGAGGGTAAAATCCCCGTAAATACAGGTGGTGCTCCTGCTTGCGTACCCCCTTTTGCAGTGCCTGGGTCTCCTTGCTAATTTCCCCAACAAGCTCAGGAGATCCTCGCAACCAATTAGGGTAACGGCTCCAATGAGTGTGTGTGTGTGTGTGGGAGTGAGTGCGTGTGCGTGCGTGCGTGCTCTCCTGACCCAAACTGACCCTAGCCGGTTCCTGTTTCCCCAGAAAGCAAAAACCACCACCCTCTCTGACGCAGGGCGAGTCAAACTTGAAGCTCCAAAGATGCCCCCAAAGTCTAAAACCTTTCATTTCACTGGAATCACTTTCAGTTTCAAAAGGGGGAACTCTGCTGAAATCTGGGCACTGGTCGGGAGGAGGAGGAGGAGACTGGATTTATTCCCCTTGCCCTTCACTCAGAGTCTCAGAGCGGCTTACAAACTCCTCTCCCTTCCCCGCCCCACAACAGACACCCCGGGAGAGAGGTGGACCTGGGAGAGCTCTGAGAGAACTGTCCTCGAGAGAACAGCTGTGCCAGAGCTTGTGACTGACCCAAGGTCACACCAGCAGGTGCAAGTGGAGGAGGAGTGGGGAATCAAACCTGGTCCTCCCAGATTAGAGTCCACGCACTTAACCCACGACACCAGACTGGCTCCTGGTAAGGAAGGTAAAAGGGAGAAGTAAGATAGGGCTAACAAGTTCGTAAGAACGCCCCTGTAAACCGCTCTGAGACCCGCTAGGGGTTACGAGCGGTATATAAGTCTCATGTAAATAAATAAATAAAAATAAATAAGAGAGTCAGATCGCTCAAGGATGTCTGGAGACTGTTTAGAACTACACAGATTGAGGCCCAGAGAGCGGAAGCTTCCTTCAGATCAGGAAAGGTACCGCAGAATCTAAAAGGACGGCTGCGCAGAAGCCATAAAAGTCTTCTTTTAAAAAGTGGAAGGTTTTCAGGAGCAAGATGAAAAGAAAGGAGCACCGTTTCTGGCAAAACAAATGTAAGCTCAGTGATAAGGAGAACAAAGAGAATTCAAGGAGCAGACGGCCAAAAAATTAAGACAGTAAGAGCATTTCTTCAGCTGCCTCACACACGAATGCACATGAAACTGCCTTCTGCCGAATCAGACCCTCAGTCCATCCCGGCCAGCACAGTCTGCTCAGACCGGCAGCAGCAGATCTCCAGCAGCAACTGAGGCCTTTCACATCACACCTGCTGTTTGAGCAACAAAAAAAACAGGGCAGAATAAGGGAAAGATGGGAACAACACGCTGAAGAACTGTACAAGAGAGATGAAAGGACGACAGATTCCTTCCAAGAAGGAAACTTTTCAAGAACAGCCTACAGCTTTAGAAAGCAAAGTGGAAGCTGCACTGAGAGCGACTGGCAGAAACAACGCACCAGGAGCAGATGGAATATCAATACAGCTTCTCCCGGTCACAGAGACAGAGTCCCTCAAAATCTTAACACAAACATGCCAACGAATATGGAAAACAAAACAATGGCCCACAGACTGGAAACTCTCCATTTACATTCCAATTCCAAAAAAAAAAAAAAAAAAGGAGACGTCAAAGACTGCAGCAACTATCAGACCATGGCATTAATTTCTAACATGAGTAAAGTGATGCTCCAAATTGTACAGCAAAGACTGTTGCCGTATATGGAACGACAAATGGCAGATGTTCGCTGGATTCAGAAAAGGAAGCGGCGCTAGAGATCATATTGCAAATTTCTGGTGGTTACTGGAGCATATGAGAAAATTTCAGGAAAAAATCAGCTTGTGTTTTGTAGATTACAGCAAAGCTTTTGACTGTGTGGATCATGAAAAGCTATGGCTGGCTTTAAAGGAAACTGTTGTGCCACATCTAATTGCTTTGATGCACAACCTGTACTCTGGACAAGAGGCCACTGTTAGTACAGAATATGGAGAAACAGATTGGTTTCCAATTGGCAAAGGTGTCAGATAAGGATGTATTTTATTTCCCTATCTCTCTTTGCAGAACTTATCATATGGAAAGTGAGATTAGATTTAGATGATGGTGGAGTGAAACTCAGTGGAAGGAACATTAACAATCTGAGATAGGCAGATGACACCATGTTACTAGCAGAAAACGGTGAAGACCTGAAATGACTTCTGATGATTAAAGCAGAAAGTGCCAAAGCAGGTTACAGCCAACGCTCCCTCTAAGCTGTGGAGTCTTGTGAGCAAAAATTCTACTATGTGAGCTACTGGCATTAAAGCTGTGAGCGAGCGATTTGGCTGCTGTGTAAATTGAATGTCAAGAAGACCAAGGTAATTGTGTCTTTATTGCATATTTATAGTTAGTTGATTGAGACAAATGTTTAAATGGCAAAGAAGGAATATTAATGGTCTAGCTCTTAAGGAATTTCAATAGAAATTAGGATAGTGATTACTTTAAATAATAACAGTGTCAGGTAAGGGGATAATTAATTGTCTAAGTTTCTTGTTTTTGGCTCCGTGCTAGATAATCTGAAAAATTTATCAGATAGAATACGGGAGTAAAAAGGTATGAAATGCGTGATTTGAAACTTTATTGGAATAATATTATTTTTAAGAGATGAATTAATCTACCAACAACTGTTTGACTTTGTAGATGTGCCTAAAATATGTATATGTATTTCTCTTTTGTTTTTGTTTGTTTGTTTCCATCAACCAAAAGGACTCAGCCAACAAATCAGAAGGAGACTGAGACTGGGAAGAGCCAGAAAAGATCCTTAAGGGTCATCAGGGTGTGTCGCTGGTGTGGTGACCAAGACCAAAGTCATTCATGCCACCTATTCCCCATTACTCTGTATGGGGTGTGAAGCTGGACTGCGAGGAAAGAGGACTGGAAGAAAAGAGGAGGATGGTCCCATCCTGAGAGGAACTGACTCTGCGTAGGAAGCCACGAGGGACCTTGCGTTCGTGAGACTTGGGCCAGGCTCTTCAGGAGAGGACCTTCTGGCGGTCACTGGACCACGGGGTTCCCTTGGGTCGGAAGTAACTTGCCGTATATGGAACGACAAATGGCAGATGTTCGCTGGATTCAGAAAAGGAAACCAGGGCTGCCCAGCCTCCAATTTGCACTGCGAGGATGGAAGGAGACATGATTTGACCGCGCTCTGGTCAGTCGAGCCCTTAAACGAAAGGAGCCACTGGATGCAGAAAGGCAGGATGCTCTCACCGGGGGGGAGGGGGGGCGGCGCGCACACACACTCAGCACCAGCTGGGCTCAGTTGGGCTCGCCTCGCTGCAAACCCAGCGGCCACACACCTTGGCAACAGGAGACGTGAGGCCCCACACCCCCCTCACCTTTCTCAGTGCGTCGGCGGAAGGAGAGTTTGCGTCGGCGCAGCCGGCTGAAGCCTCCGTTGGTCTCCTCGCTGCCCGGGGAGCCCGGGATCATGTTCGTCTGCAAGCAGAAGAGAAGCTCATTCATTTGGGGGCGGAGAAGGGCAAGCGTCTGGGGAGGGCGTGTGGCCAGCTGGAGGCGGTCTCCCCCCCCCCAGCCGAGCTACAGGCTCTGAGGAGGGCCCCTGGAGGTCTCCTCTGGCCTGCCTCCTCCCCCTCCCCTGAGCTGGACCACTGGGTGGAACCGAACTCACATCTCGCAGGTTGAAGGTGATCTCCAGGTTGGACCAGAAGTGGTCGGAGAACTCTGGGTACATGTCCAGGACCTCCAGCAGGTCCTCCCGGTGGATCTTGTGCAGATCGCAGTAGGTCAGCGCTCGCACGTCTGCGTTGGACTTGCCCGGGCGCGCGTACAAGTTCAGCGGCTCCCCAAAGATGTCGTTTTTCCCTGGGGGAGAGGAGGGTTAGGGTCGAACGCATGGCACTCCATCAGAGCGCTCCATCGCTTTGGCCAGTGGCCCCGAGGACTGTGGAAGGCCACAGGTGGGTTGCCGATCCACCTGGGAATGTGCCCGCCCACTGAGGAGCAGGAAAGGCCAGCCGCCAGGCCCGGTGCAGGCCCCTCCGCTCAGGTATTTGCTGGCAAATCTATGCCCCACCTCCCCCCACAGCACCCCACGGCTCCCGGGGCTCCGGTTTCCCATCTCTGATCACCAGCCGCGGCCCCGACACTTCCCGGTTATCCCCTCCTTCCTCCAAGCATTCAGGGTGGCACACAAGGTACCCACAACCCTGCGAGGCAGGCCAGGTGGCTCAGCGAGAGGGACTGGGTGAACCCAGGCCTCCCTGGTCCTCTGCCTGCCACCTTCCCAAAAAATGGAAAACGGCCCATCGGGGGGGGGCAGCGTTGGGGAGGGGGGCTGGGGGTGAGCCCGAAGGGAAAGCAGCCCCGGGGCTTCTGAGAGACAGTTCTGAGGCAGCCACCGAGGGCTGATCTAGATTGGGAAAACTACACAGACCAAGAGAAGGATGAGCGGGATAAAGGGAGAGCCGTGCAGGGCCAGGGACTGCCCCACCCAGCCCAGCATCCTAGAATCGTAGAGTTGGGAGGACCCTCCGGGGTCATCTAGTCCAACCCTCTGCACAAGGCAGGAAATTCACAAATACCTCCCCCCTCCACACACACACACCCAGGGACTGCTGTTCCACGCCCAGGAGATGTTGAAAAAACCCAACCCTCCAGGATCCCCGGGGCCAAGACAAAAACCTCCCTTCCTGACCCCCAAAGTGGCAAATCAGCATTTCCCTGGGCATGTGAGGAAGGGCCACGAGAGTTCCTAAAGGGTTCTGCCCAGACGACAAGCAGACCAAAAGGAAAACAGAGACGGGGACGTCGTCCAGAACAATTCCATGCCAGGGCCTGAGCCATGTGCCGGACCAGGAGGGCAGGGAGCGTGTCCACCCCCCCCCACTCCTACCCCCACCCCCGGCCTTCTCCCGCCCTTACCCAGGATGGCCACCACCACGTCGCCCCGCAGGATCTCGATGGAGCCGCGGGAGATGAAGTAGAGGGCCGTGAGGACGTCGCCGGCATGCACCAGGGTGTCCCCGGGGGGAGCGTGGGTGGTCTTGAACTTCATGGCCAGGGCCCGCAGGCAGCCCTTGGTGGCGCCCTTGAAGGGCTTGCAGTTCTGCAGCAGGGTCCGGTTGAGGTGGAGGCAGATGTCGGCCTGCAGGCACTCAGGGAAGCCCTTCAGCACCTGCGGGGGGGCAGGGGGGAGGAAGGGGGCTGAGCAGCCGTGCGGGCCTTCCCTTCAGACAGAATAGGCCCCACCCTTCTCTGCCGCCCTGGAGGGAGGTCAGCAGGCCCCCAGGTGGTCTAATCAGGAGGCCTCTCCCCTCCTGGGTGCCCGAAAGAGAGGCCCCTCCCCTTCAGAGGGGCAGCTCCGCTCGGGCGGTGGTGCCAGGACTTCCTAGTGGGGGGGGCGGGGGGCAGGCACGCAGGCCCACCGAGGGAAGGGGGCCTCCGGGCCCGGCGTTCTGCTCACAGCGTTCATGTCGATGCCGTTGGTGTAGGACCAGGCGTGCTGGAAATACTCCTCCAGGCGCTGCCGCAGAGGGTTGGGGATCTGGTGGAAGCGGATGAACTCTCGCACACGCAACATCTGGGTGTGGTAGCGGGCCGTCCCCGAGTAGAGCCGCTGGATGATGGCCGAGACGTTCCCAAAGATGCTGGCGTACATCAGCGCTGGAGCAGAGGGGAGGGAAGGGATTTCGTCTTCCTCTGTGGTCAGCAAGGGGTAATGGAGAAAGACCCTGCCCGGCCTCAAACGGGGGCTGTGGAAAAAATCCAGGGGCTACGGAGGGCCTTAGGGCCCAAGGGCCGGCCGTGGCAGGTTTGCGGCTCTGCCTGTGTCCGGCCAAGTAGGAGATAACAGGGAAGTTAGATAAGCATATGGAGCAGAGGTCCATCAGTGGCTCTTAGCCACAAGGCATAGACAGGAACTCACAGTCCAGGGCAAGGGATGCTCGGTCTTCTTGGTGCTTGGGGGGGGGGCAACAGTGGGAGGGCTTCTAGTGTCCTGGCCCCACTGCTGGACCTCCTGATGGCACCTGGTGTTTTTGGCCACTGTGTGACACAGAGTGTTGGACTGGATGGGCCATTGGCCTGATCCAAGATTGGCTTCTCTGATGTTCTTATGGATAAACATATGGAGCAGAGGTCCATCAGTGGCTGTTAGCTGCAAGGTATAGATAGGGACTCTCAGTCTGGGGCAAGGGATGCTCTGTATTCTTGGTGCCTGAGGGGGGGCAACAGTGGGAGGGCTTCTGGAGTTCTGGCCCCACTGGTGGACCTCCTGATGGCACCTGGTATTTCTGGCCACTGTGTGACACAAAGTGTTGGACTGGATGGGCCACTGGCCTGATCCAACACTGGCTTCTCTTACGTTCTTATGTTAACCCACCAAAAGTGTTCTTCTTGAGGCTAACACCCGTGGGCAAAGTCAGCCCACTTGAAGGCTGGCAAGACAGAATCCTTCAGGTCTGGCCCGCACCCGTGGAACTCCTTCCCACCGGAAGTGGGAGCCCGGCTGAGGCGCACGCGTGGGCATACGTGAGAGGGCATGCTCACGCCTGTCAGAAGGGGCAGGGGTTCAGAGATTGTCGACCCACACAGGGGCAGGCAGAACCCATCATTGCTCATCCCCCACAAAAAGATTAATGTTCCCTCTGAGCCGTGGAGTCTCGTGAGCAAAAATTCTACTTTGTGAGCTACTGGCATGAGAGCTGCGAGCGAGCAGTTTGGCTGCTGCATAAATCAGTTTGCTCTGGACCCATCCTTCCTCCTGAGCTAAGACAAAAATCTGTGAGCTGGAGGCTAAAAGACTGTGAGCTAGCTCACACTGACTCAGCTTAGCGGGAACGCCCTGGGGGCATCCGCCTGTGTCCTGATCAACATCTCTCCAGGTATCGGAGCTCCAGGCTCAAAGCCTGGAAGCCTGAAGGACTCTGGTGGACAGAGGCGGGACGTCTGCCTCCGCCCCAACCCCACTCCGGTGTGTGTGTGGGGGGGGCTGGTGGGGGGAGAGCTGTCCGGACAGGCCCAGACCCCCGCCCCTCCCTCCCCGCCCACTCACAGCCAATGAGCATGACGCAGATGGAGAAGATCTTCTCGGGGTTGGTGTTGGGAGAGACGTTGCCGAAGCCGACGCTGGTGAGGCTGCTGAAGGTGAAGTAGAGGGCGGTGACGTACTTGTCCTTGATGGAGGGCCCGTCTTTGGCGTGGGTGTTGTTGAAGGGCTTGCCGATCTGGCTGCCCAGGGAGTGGAGCCAGCCGATGGTCTCCCCCTCCACGTTCCCGATGGCGTACCAGATGCAGGCCAGCCAGTGGGCGATCAGGGCGAAGGTGCACA